TACTTCTAATACTTTTACTACCTCTTCTACAATTGGATTTGAATCGACAATTATATCTGTGTGCTGATGTGGTATGGCAACATGAACTGATGTACTTACGTACGCAGTTATACGTTGCACCTGACAGACTGACTGACTGTATCACAGTAATACTTAATACTGTCAGTATGTGTTGTAACTGCAGTGCAAAAGAGAACTTTCAATCACACTTTAAAATCTCTAACAAAAAAAAAATTAAACATTTGCGGTTTATTGCAAGTTACATAAACTATCTTAAAGAAAAATGTCTATTGTTATTTGAAATTTTTTTTGATGTTCTATGAGCGTGTAAAATCTCAGAACTTTCCGTCAGTCCCTCCTTCATTTGTTGAGTAAGCGGTGGATAGTAGAGTGAGAGGGGAAAAAAAGTGACAGAAAATGTTAATTTTCAACACATCTAGTCAATAATGAAGACGGTGCAAATGCATGGACTCATTAAAAATATAACCTTCCTATATGTATCCTAAATTGGTGTTCCTTTTTTATTGGTAAAACATGTCAGTTTCATTACACTAAATATTTTTCAAAAAATTAACATTAAATTTATTCATGTTTTCACACGTTTATTTTATTGCGAGTAAAAATAAAAGAAATTCAGTAAAACTAATAAATAGTTAATATATATATATATATATATATATATATATATATATATAAAATCATGATAATCAATGAACTAATGACTGAAATAAATTCAACACTCATACACAAACAATGATGCTAATTTACCAAGAATATATATACACTCAATTATAAGTGACAGAAATAGAAAACAACACAACACAACACAAATAATGATGTAAATCTATGAATTTTCTATAGAATAATTCAATTATCATTACCAATATCATCATGAATTTGTTGGTGTTAAAAAGACAAAAATGATAAACGGTATGCTTTTGTAGTTTTTAAGTGGTCAACTGATAATAATAATAATAATAATAATGACAATCGAATCGATTATGATTATATTTGTCTCAAAAACAGACAGATTAATTACTCTAAAATAAAAATCTAGTGATCAACTATACAAGATTGACAAGAAAAGAAAAGAAAACACTTAAAAGTTACTGGTTTATTTCCAATGTGAAAATTACTACTGTGAAAATAAACATAGATTGATAAATCCGTTCTATTTCGAAAGCTATCAGCAAATAGAAAAAATAGAATTGAAACAGAAATGGAGAATTTGCTATGGTTATCACATTGACACTATTGGATGATGGCTCAGTATGCCGAACAGACAGTTTTGGGTTTCAGTTTTGGATGCAGGATCATGGATGAACACTAGTGAAGAGACACATATACCTAGGAAAAAGTAATCATCCAATACTTTCAAGCTTACAATCACAGTGTAACTAAAATCAGTTCGTTATTTGAGGAATAGAGGAGTTTAAATAAGAGGAAGTGAAAAATCGTATCATAAATATGTAGATACCGGCTCAGTGGTCTGACGGTTAGGCGTTCGTACACAATACCGAAGGTCCTGGGTTCGAATCCTGCGGGGTGTAGGAGTCTTAGATGTGCACTGCTGAGGAGTCCCATACCAGGACGAAAAGGCCATCCAGTGCTTTCAGGTTTCTAATGATGGTCTAACATTGATCGATTCATGGTTTCAAAAATGTGTAAATATCTAGAAATCTAAAAGTGAATCATTCCGGTCAGTGTTTTCAGTCATGCAACTAACTAAGTACAAGAAATAAGGTAAGTACACAACTAACTGTATTTTAATTTCCTAGAAATTTTAACCGTGTTTAAATTCCTTACAAACCCTTTCCAAAATGTATTATTATGTTTTCGCGAATCTCTATATTAACTTATTGATACACAGACATGCTAATTTTTATATCCCTAAAGATGCTATAAATGTATTCACATAGTGGAAGTAATCCGTTATTCACTTTCTTACGATAATCATTTTTCAGAAAATATGTGTGGACAATTATAAGCATATATTGAACAACCAGGAGGCTTACATCCTATTCAGATGACTAATGAAAAACTAGTCGTAGTGACTTAAGCAGTGAACCTTATTTATTTATCTGAATAACCAATTATCTCTTACTTAAATACTGTTTCAGTAGTCGTTGGACTCTGCAGTGAGAAGCAAGTTCGAGTGTGTAGCATGAGTCACAGGTAAGTAAGTCAGTAAAGATGAAAATGCTTTTTCTTTATACTACATATTTTTTAATCATCTATCGGATTAGATCGACTACAATGAGAGATGATGAGAACAAAATGTAAAAATAGCATGAATAAATTCCTAATTTAGTTATTCAAAGTTTTCAACATACAAGAATAAGTTGCATGTATACACTTTATCGACGATGATTATGGGAAACTAGAAAAGAGGCTTAATTAAATTGTAATTAACGTCATTGTGAGTTAAGGAAAAGAATCAATAGTTAATTAATCAACGAGACGACAAAGATCATCAGCTGAGTCAGTCTAGTCGGTAAACAAAATATGTAATTTGATTCTATATACACAAAAGTTTTTCAAAAAGTTTACTAGTAAAAATTAAAGAAAACGCTAATCAATAAGGCAGTAATTGAACATCACTTAACAAAAGGAAAAAAGAAGGAGTTTACGTGACCTTTTCTCTTATGAAATGTTTGTTTCGAGTGACCTTAAAATTAGGTAATGCAAAATATAGTTCGACATTTTCATTGTTCACTGCAAAAAATGGAAACTTTTTCTTGTCTGGTTGACAACCCTTATCATCAGTAAATTCACTGGTGATGCGTCCTCTTTAAATTGTTAAAACACTTGATTGACAAAACAATCCACTTTGTTTAATTTAAAGAGTTATTTACTAAGGTGGTTAGATGGAGATTCTATATTCTTTCAAAGTAATTCTCATTATCATATCACGTCAAAAAAATTAACTGAAGTAGAAAATGTACACTATTGAACTCCAACTAAGATAGTTTAAAATAATCATAATCGCTGTGAGAATTGAGGGTTTTAGGTTTAATCTCCTTTGATTTTTTTTAAATGGTAACTTCCAAAGTAAACTAGGCTGAAACAACTATTCAATGATTGTTGTTTACAACGGCTACACAAATTTTGTTAATTCGTATTAAAATTACGTTTGAAAACGTAGTTTCGATAGTTTACTTTACTAGATAACAAAACGACATTTAGTGAAATAACTTTTAGCTGAAGTCAATCTCTAGAAGAAGTGAGTTAAATGGGTTTGACAATTTGTTCCTGAAGCATTGAATCTAAAGAGAAGTTGACTGTGAAAGTTATTCCGCGTATTTCTTGTACATTTTTCCTGATTGTCTAGTGTGTGAATGATTTTTATTAGCAAAAATTTTATAAATGACTACAAAGTTATTTAAGCTAGTTTTTACATAAATAGGATCTATGATCTTAAAAGTTGTTTACCTTTCTTCTTCTTGTTTGATTGACTGGTTGATTAGATCTAAGTCAATATTGCAATTGAATCCTAGTTTCTTTGAGTGTTGGCTTTAGAAAATCCCGCTGAAACTCTCTATATATATCTTCCATTAAAAAACTTTTACTTCATGTCAATTAAATTCATGTCTAGAATAGTTTATATGAATTGATGAAGCACGATACGCTGTATCAATAAATTGCTTGTCACCTCAACTTTACTGACGCTTTTAAATACAAACATTAGTGTTAGTTTAATTTTAAATCAATGGTTGATTGAATAATTATGTGCAAAGTTATGTGTAAGGATGGTTTCACCATTTCTATGAACAATACAACTTCTATAAAGATTTTAATTTATGATACAAGTGAAGTGTCATATTCAATTTATACACCTACTATTTCAATAGGTTTAATCTTTAGTAGCATGGTTTTTGTTAGTAATATTCTATATTGAAACGTTTTAATTAGTAATATAATTTAGATTTCTTCCAGTGTCGTTAAACAAGAGAAAATTGATTAGACAAAACCAAAGCACTAAAGTAGACGTTTAGCTAAAGCTGATAGTAAGTGCCAATCATCATCATCATCATCATGATCATTATTTTACACTGCAACTTTAAAACAAGAAACCTAAAACTTTCAATCCACTGGAATAGTGATAATCTGAATATAGAAACACTAGTATAACATATTTTTTTGTTTATTTGAGAATTACCTTAGTAAAGAAAGCAATCAGACTCGGCTAGTTGTTATGACCTATTAAATTTGGTATCTTTAGAATTCTGATGACATTGATAATGATAGAAATATCAACAATAATTGTATAATTAATGTCAACTTTCAGAATAAACAAATAATTAAGAGATTTTTAATGAGTAAGCATTATTTTCTTTGATGTTACTGACTAATGTATACCGTACAGGAAATAAAAAATAGAAGTGAAGTTACTTGAAGTTTACAATTATGCGAGAAAAAAAACAAATCAAAGTGGGAAATAATGCATACCAAAAAATGACTATTGAATTCTTTGGATTAAATAACATAACCTAAGTGTGATTGAACTTGCACCAACTGAGGCATTAATTATTGTGGATATCAGGAAGAAAGAGAGAGAGAGAGAGATTGAAGTGGTATATCAGAGTTTCAATGATTTTCATATTACAATGAAATTCACATGTCACGAATTCTAATGACAAAATCAATACTCAAACAAAACCGAAAATAATTTTTGCCGCATTTTTATGTCACGTAAGGAAAAATAAATTCCACATTTTTTCCAAAATATGAGTATTATCGACCGAAAACGCCAGCTTAAATACTTAAAAGAAAGGATAACTGTGAATAATAAACAAAACAAATGACTGAAACTGAAAAAAAATCTATTCTGCGAAATACGTGAGTAGGATTTGAAAAATTAACAATTGATATACGTACAAATTAAACACCTACAAGTGAATCATTTTGAAACAATAATAAAAACAATTTATTCATGAGAAGTGGACAAAAATGTAAAATATCACACAGACAAACAATCAATAAAAATGATTGGTACTCACCTTCTACAAATTTGGTTTGGTTAATTAGTGGGTTGATTGGTGTAATCTTGTGAATGATTTCATCCCATTCCTGTTGAAGATCTCCAAGCGTACGTAAAACATGACTTGACTTCTTGTCGAATTCATCAGAGGTTGGATCAAAAGCCATAGAAAAGTTTTGCAATTCTGAAGATGATAGTGGGCTCTGGAATTTGCCATTTAAGGTGGACAGTATTGAATTAATGATACTATGTTTCCTCTTTTCATAATGCTGAATTTCATTTGTGATAGTCTGTAGAAAAGAAAATATCTTCGTAAAAAAGTGTGCGTATGTTTTGAACTAACTTCTATATCACAGCAAAAATAACATTCTATATTCAAAACAAACGATATCCTTACATTCACCTAATAACATTTCCAGAGACTAAACATTAAAAGTCAAAATTGTTAAGTTTCAAAAGTATATGCTTACTAACAACTTCGAATTTACACACTATCAGGATAAGTTTGCCATCAATCTTTGGTTTAAATAACTTAGTATTTTCTTCCTATAAATAGTGAATAATTTCTATGACATAACTAAATATAAGTTAGCTAAGTCAGGATTTAAACAGTTACCAACCAACAATAGTGATTTTTATGCGTCATTTGAGGTCAAAAACTTATGAGTCCCTGCTACCTTGATGTGGTGGTTGGGCTTGCCTATCGTGATGATCCAACCAAACTACATTGGCCGGAAAGATGAGACTAAAAGCAGCAACTTAAAGTCTGAGGGCGAAGTCGTACTGCTGAACGTAGAGAAGTGTGATAGCTGTTAGAACTACCAGAATCTGTGGCGATGCCGCCTTCTCACAAGGAAGGAAGGGTTAGAAAAGGTCGACCCTAAAAATGTCACACTTCACCTTACCTCACGGATTTCCGTCTCCAGCGGTAAGGCTTTTTAAACAAGAACGGAGCTAACACTTTAAAAACTTCTCATAAAAAAATTGTGCGTGACCGGCCTCAAGCAGTTGTTCCTTGGACTCTGTTGTCGAGCTCCTAGGCCTCTAAGACCAACTCTAATCTACCTTGCTTCTCAGGTTCCTCAAGAAACACCCTTTTGCAGTGTGAGCAACCGGGAAGTGACATCTTTCTTCATTCTCGTAACAGCACGAGAGACCAAATTAGTCATAATCAAATCTCTTATTTCCAAAACTAACCCTTGTCACATTCCGTTATCACTCCGCACCGCTAATGCAAACTATTCGAATACACGAAACTTTATTCCTGATCTCTTAAAACAAAGGTCTGAACTACATGTTGGAGCTTTTAATGTCCGAACACTGTGTCAAATAGGGCAACAGGCTTCCTTAGCTAGGACTTTAGATTCTCACGCCATCGATTTATGCTGCGTTTCCAAAACGCGCATACAGGATCAAAGTATAGTGATTAATTTGACTTCAACTTGTCGAAATAAAGAACCAACTAGGTTTACTCCATGTGCATCTGGAAGCCCTGCTGCTGCTTTCCATGGCCTCGCTGGTGTAGGAATAGCATTGACTCCTAGCGCAGAACTAGCCCTCCTAAACTGGATCCCAATGGATAGTCTCTTATGCACTGTCCGACCAAACGGGACAGTAAAGACTCGAAAAGGCAAGGAAACTCGCCGTTGCCTCTTCGTTGTCTCCGCCTATGCTCCCACTAACTGCAGTCCAGACGATGTGAAAGATGAGTTCTACAGAAAGCTTTCGAACCTCCTCCAAAAAACTAGGCGCTCTGATATGGTAATAATGGCTGGTGACTTTAATGCTCAAGTAGGTAGACTAAGGGAAAATTAAAACCACCTGGGTGGATGTTATGGTGTTGCGGCTCAAAGAACAAATAATGGCGACCGTCTGCTGTAGCTATGCTCAGATAACCGCCTATTTCTAGCAAACACTAACTTTAAGCATAAGGAAAAACATCTTTTGACCTGGCGACCCCCAAAGTTCGACCCAACTAGATCACATTGCCATCAGCCACTGATGGAGAGGTTCAATAGAGGACTGTCGCTCGTTCTGGGGCACATGTTTAGATTCAGATCATGCTCTAGTGCGAGCGTGTATTTGTTTGAGGCTTACTGGACGTAGGGAAGACACCGTAAGGAAACCTCTTATGGTTCTACATAATGATTACACAGCAGAGAATATATTTCAGGATCAACTAGAAAAACAGTTAGGCAGCGATGTAAGTGATGTACACCCTGAGGCAGCTTGAAATGATATCCGAAAAGCTGTGTAAACAGCAGTGATATCTGCTAGTAAGGTAAACAATTAGGTAAGGGAGAAGTAGTGTATTTCAATAGCATCTACCGAACTGATAGATGCTCGAAAACTCAGTCCGTCTTGCTCTGAACATGACGAACAGCGAAGTAAGCTCAGTCGCAGGCTGATAAAAAGCCTACGCAATGATTGCGATTAATGGTGGGTAGCGATAGCAAGAGCAATGGAAAAGGCAGAGATGATTGGCAACAGTAGACAACTATTCAGACTTATCAAGGAAACTGGTACTAGGAATCCGACTGTAAATGAGACTATCTCGGAAAAGATAGGCTTATTATTCATTCCCAATCCAGGAGATTAGACCAATGGGCAGAACACTTAAGGAATCAGTTCAACAGACCTTCAGCCCTACTTCGGTTACCCACGATATTCAGTCATCCTGAATGGCAAATAGATGTAAGTCCTCCAATTTTTTATGAAGTTGAGAAAGCTAACGGAAATCTGAAGCGAGGGAGAGCCGCGGGTTCTGATAGATTGACCCCTGAAACTTTCAAGGGTGGTGGTCCAGTTTTAGCAGATAGATTGAGATATTATATAGAATCTGGGAAATGGGCATAATCCTTCCAAATGGTCTCAATCACTGATTGTCCCAGTCTAAATAAAGGACAAAAGTCCTTTTGTGACGATCGCAGCGAAATCAGTTAAACTAATATAGTGTCTAAAATGTTAGCCTAGATAATATTTTGACGCCTACCTAGAGCTCGTGAAGAGCAGACTCGAGAAAACCAGGCTGGTTTTCGACCTGGACGTTGCTGTATAGACCAGATGTCCGCACTACCACAGGTCTTAGAACAAAGAGACACGTCCAGACGTCCCACAATAGTGGTATTTTTCGAAATTAAGGGGGCATTTTACTCTATTGATCGTGAGGTTCTTGGGAAGTGCCTGTCATTGAATGTAGTACCAAAGGAGCACACTAACCTTAAACAACCTCTCCACTCAAATACTAATGGCCGAGTTAAAGTATATGGAGAAGTGTCATCGCAAATTATTACCTCGAGTGGTGTCCACTCACTCCATTCTTGTTTAACTTTGCCACAGACCTTGTTCTAGATAAAACACAACCTTCGTCTGACTTTCAGGAATGGACCTCTTACCAGCAGTCAAGCTTGCTGACTTAGAATATGCTGATGATATAGTCCTATTCGGTGAAGACACTGACAAAATGCAGAGTCTTTTAACTAACCTAAGCAACAATGCAAGCATGTTCGGGATGCGGTTTTCCCCCTCGAAATGCAAAATGTTGCTTCAAGATTGGGTTGCATTGGCACCTGAACTAGTGATAGGGAGTGAAGTAGTCGAGCGTGTTGATCACTTCACTTATCTGGGGAGTCTCATCAGCGCAGATAGCCTGGTGACTGACGAAATCTCAGCACGGATACAGAAGGTTCGATTGGCTTTTGCCAACCTGCGTCACTTATGGCGTAGGCGAGATATCCGTTTGCTCTCCAAAGGTCAAGTCTACTGTGCAGCAGTTTGCTCTGTCCTAAATTATGGATGCGAAACATAGCCGGTAAGATTGGAGGAAATTCGTAGGTAATCAGTATTCGATTATAGATATTCTCGAAGCATAGCTCGTATATCCTGTGGCAGCCGATTAAGCAATGCTGTTGTTGGGAAACTAATGCTAAGTGAGGATGGCAGATCAATTGATGAAGTAGTGAAACTTCATCATTTGAGGTGGTTGGGACATGTGTTACGTATGATGAACCACCGACTGACTCGTCGAGCTATTTTTGTGGCGTGGGAGTAGGTTGGAAGAAATCTATGAGCAACCAAACCAAAACATAGCACAAACCATGAAGTCACTGACGAATGGATCGAGCCCTGTAAGTGTATGCACCTGGTTGGGGTCCGTGAGATGATAGTAAAAGATTGTAAGCGACTTGGAATGGCATGGCTCAAAATCGTTTGCAGTGGCACAGGTAAATCTATTCCTCATGCTCTCCGAAGTCCTAATCTGCTGAATTCCTCAAGAACTTCGTCTTTCCCTTGTCAAATTTACTTCACCGGATTATACTCCTTGAATAATACCGTAGAAGTCTAAAATTTCCAATTACTACTAATACTTCTACTACCTCTACTACTATGGGATTTGAAATGATAATTACATCTCTGTGCAAATATGGTATGGCAACTTGAACTGATGTACGTAAATACAAAGTTCTATGTTGTTGTTGTTGTTGTTGACTGACTGACTCAACTGACAAGGGTAATTTCACAGTAGTTTTGATGTTCCAACTCAAACTTTTCGGCTCAATCCCGTGGCGCCATCACACACGTAACTGACCCCTGGTGGACCATTCACACCACCTATACACATTAGTACATATATAATGGTTATCTCCGGTCTATGATCGTGCCGATCAATATGTAAAGCATAAACAGTCCAATTTGACCCATCCCAGTGATATGACTGTCAAACTCATCATTGTCAGCCATACAGAACCCCAATGACAAATGTTTCCAGAGTTTTGCACAACAAAAGCCCGTATCAACGATATCGGTTGCCCTGATAAACAAATTTGTATATAGACAGTTAGTAATAATTGACTGAACAATGCCAAGCCCAGCTTGAAGCTAATGGGTTGAAACACTCTTATTACTATTTGCCTCATATCGAGTAACGGCTTTTTTCGACCATATGAGACCTGACTTAAGAGTAGTATCCCTCAGGTAATCCTAAGAAACTCAAACATGACACTTCAAATATACAAACAAAATACCGACAAAGAAATGCCAAGGAACAGTCAATCAGCGTAGTGAGTGACTATTTATAGGCGACTTTGTTGCATGAACTAGACTTATATAGTGAGAGCAATGGGTTAAGTTTGGTTTCTTTCTATCAAATTAAAACTATACCCAAAAGCATAAGTTTTCACAACGGATTGTTGTTCAAAAACCTGACTTTCAAAGAAAGTTGAAGTTAACTTACTGTTTCTAAGTACTTTTGAAAGTTTCCAGGACCGTCACTTTGTATGCGTTGACGAAGATTGTGAAGCAAATCACTCAAACCCTCCAACAAAATAACGCAGGATTCATATGAAGAGCTGGCTGGTGTGGATATTTGTTCACAAGATAAGTTATTCTAAAAATAATCTAGACCACGTATACAGTAATACCTTGCAGTGCTCAAGGAGGTCATCATTCATCAGGAATTCATAATTCTCTTCGACAAACTTCCACAATGAAGAGTCATAAATGCAATCGGAACTACCACTGGAACTGGATAAATCCAAGTCTCGCTACATAAAATTAAAATAAAGAAGTAAACACTCACTCTTTTGCGTTTGGACATGTAGGCGTTTACTGATATAGGCAGTTAAATTCTACATTATCATCAGCCAAAAAAACGCGAATTTCAGAAAACAGAACGAAATGCCCGGACAGCCGGCCAGTGATTATTGTAACACATTAAAACGAGGTCGTCCTCCAATATCCAATATATTTTTCAAACAATTTGTATAAACCAGTTGATTTGTTCACGCCCGATTCTTATTCTTTTATACGGTTACAGATATTTATCAGAAACACTGTCCAACTGTCAAAGATGTTCATAAAGAGTAAAATAAAAAAACAGCCTGAACAGCTCTCCCATTCAGTACCAATGAAACAAGTTGATGTATCTAAAGTTTAATTAGATTTTTGTAGTAATGGTACATTTTCGCCTCCGAAGTGAATCGGCTTGGAATAATTCAGACAAAAGGGATATCCAGGAATCAACTGCTCCAAGGCCGAAGAATTTGCGATGCACATTTTCTTCCCAAGTTTCAAATCTAATTTTCCACCGATCATCACGAACTTTATTCATGACAGAACATTACCAAGTATTCCAGAAATTGTCTAGAATTTTTGATCTTATTGGGCATCTTTGTCCTAATTATTCAAAGTTGTATATATCTAACAGATTTAGCCAACTGTTGCAGGACCCAGACTTGATTACAAGTCATTTTTACTTTCCCTCTTAAGATATGCGTCAAGGTGTCCCTTTTGTTTGAGTAACAGGTAAATTATACGCAAACAGGTAACACGAATAGCCGGCTGATACTACTAAATCTCCAGTGAATAACATTTTTATTGATGTTTTTAAACTTAAATCTCTGAGTCTGTTATGTAGTTCGTCTATGAATACTATGGGTGATAAACAATCGCTGATATAATGTTAGTTATGCATTTCATATGACTTTTGGTGAATATTCTGTTTGTAAAATGTTATAACGCGATGTTAGGTCGACGATTTCCCATTTCATGACTTTTTAGCCTCCTCAATCTAATTTTGTATGTAGGCTATCCCGTTCCCTTATTACTTCCCGATGGCGAATAAAATTCTGCCAGATAAGTATGTGGATGAGGTATAGATTGTTAAAAATTGAGTGAAGTCATGCTGTCGCGCACCTTGACTGTGGGCAGGAAAATTCTTCGTTAGCATTCGCTACTAATAGGCTTTATGCCTTCAGATAAATACAACAAAATCGACTATTAGTATGTGTTCAGCTTTACAGACAATTCGGATTCACTGTTACTTCCTTGATTTGTAGTGGCGCTAGTCGAGATTGAAAACCACAACAGACCAATTTTGTTCCCATCATCTAGCGTAATATTTCCGTGCGTTAAGGAGAGAAAAGAAATATTAATCCAGACAAGGGGATCTATTTGCTGGAGATTTCGTGGTATCGAAGGAATATCGAAATCGTGCCGGCAAAGAGTGGAGTTGTTACAACGAGCAGTTTAACCGAAATGGCAGCAGCATAAACGAATAGCTTGCACATACAGAGTACGAATGAACAGAGAGTAGAGTAAAACAGTCAATTGTACAGTTGGTTATAATACTGAATATTTCGACTAAACCAGCCGTGTTCTCTTCTTATAACTAGATTTACTACATTAGCCCCCGCTAGAAAGGGTTTACAACTTCAATACGTAGCAGTTTCGTCCGTGGGACTGATCAGCAAACGAGCGGTTGTAGGACAGAAGGGTTGAAGAACAGGAGTAGATCGTTGATGCCCGAGTTTTCGCCGAAGGTCTTTTAGGGAGGACGGAACCAGTAGTAACTCGACATAGTTTTTGCAGGGGTCGGCGTGCCACACCAAAGTGGTTTGCATTCAGAATTTGAGATTGGTGTCGGCAGGGCCAAGAAAATGCTATAGACTTAAGATGAAGCCACATTTAGCCGAGGAACCAGAGGTGAACATAAGAACCAGGTTCGGGGTCGTCCGTACTCCAAACGTAGTCGGAACTAGAATGTCGACTGAGTGCCTTGAAAAGGATACGTGTGATCAGGCCAACTGTTATTAAGATTGATTTAATTCGACTGTATCAGAACGGACAATGGTCATATGTGTAGGCTCATGATTAAATTAATCAAAGAAAAGAGAATGAGGTGTAGCAACCATGTAATATGGAGTAGAATCCTATAACTATAGCAATTCGCAGTGCTTTAGGAAATCGATACCGAGTACGACTACGGGAAAATCTGAAGGGATGATCGTCCACAGATACCGTCGTCGATTATTCTGGTTGATCGTTAGCTGTCGTGTACCGTAAGTATGAATGTCTGAGCCATTCGCAGCGCCTAGTCGAATCGTTTTTGCTTAAGACTTGCTGCTACAAGACGATACTACAGAAACTTTGGCACCTGTATCTACTAGGTCCCTAGAGTTAATGCGATAATTGTGCACGTAAAATAAGCGACCAACCTGTGGTGACGGGATGTAGACAGGTCAAAATGCAATGACCTGTAATTTTGAGTCCATTATATTACCACTGTTTTTCTGACTGTCTACCATTTCTAACCTATCAGATATGGCCAATCAAAACCAATGAATACATCACACCTTATTAATTTTGGATACATTCAAATAAACTAATAACTTCTAAATAGAAAGTTAATTTACATCATCTTTTCTATATTACATGGAATATACTGCTCTATAAATCTTTTTAGTCTGCTCTTGATTTCCAAATGACTGATGAGATAGTGATTAACTGTGCTCACTTTACAAAATACTGTGAAATAGTGAACGGTAACCTAATGGACTCAAATCAAGATCTGGATTTTTTGATAGGCTAAGGCCAGACTAACAGCCTGTCTACCAATCAACTAGGGACAGTGCAGGATTACGCAGAGGGAATCTTGTTTACTAGGAATCAGAAAAGGGACTTGCTCTAAGAAACCAGAACAAGATGAAGCGAATAAGCGGGATAAATAGGTTCTAACTTGTTGAGAACAATACGAAATAGTTAAAAGATCTTGTTATCAGTAATTTCATACAATAATCTACTCGCTTCTAATATCGAGTTTTTGTCTTGTTTAAGCGCGTAATTCAAAAGTTTTCTCCTATTCAAATCAACTGTCAAAAAAAGTTTCTCTGTCTCATTATTTACGAAAATAATACCCTTCATTAGGTATTTATTTTTAATTTTTAGACATCATCTCTTTTGCGTGGTGAATACTCCGTTATGTAAATGATGGAGGATTTTCTGTAAACTGATAAAACGACATTATGGTCGTAACAGTAAATTAAAATATTTCAAATTTCCTAAAGACTTAAAAGGAAATTTCTGGATTTTTTAATTAACACAAGCTCAATTATTACTAAAGGATAAATAAAAAAGCATTTAATGGTGCCAAGAATGTTCTGGCCGTGTTATTAAGTCACTCTCTGCCTATACTACTGTGTATTTATTTGAATTGAAGAATGTGAAACTAGTAATGTGATGGAGTAAAGTTAATTTGTTTATATCATCACTGATATGTATTTATATAAATCATTTGTCGGTTTTCGGACAAACATTTCAACTTGGATGGATAGTTAGACCTTAAGATCTTTGAGATTTTGTAGATATAATTATTTAAAGACAATTCAAAAGTCTACGATAATACTGTTTGCTCAAACTGTGCAATCGTATTTACAGTACATTAACAACTATGATTGAAAAACAAACAGACGATTACATCATAATGTGTATGAAAAAAAGTTGCTTACTGATCAAAGTTGTGGAGAAAATAATAAGCTGAAGTAAAACGTGTATAAGATAACTTTTCTCTTCATGAATATGAGAATGATTAAGGATAAATTAAACATGTGAAGGTGACAACAGCGAATCCTTGAAATTAAGTAGATTAGAAACAGTAGAATCCATTCCCAACCAAACTATGGTCTATTAAACTAATACGTTAGAGTCACTGAAGAATGATGTCTTGCACCTGTCTCCTTTCCACATAGTCAGTCAGTCATTTACAATCTAAAACTTCGAACGTGCGTACATCAGTTCAGGTCATCGTACCTTATTCGCTCAGAGACACCACTGTCAGTTCAAATTCCACTGCGGTAGAGAAAGTAGAAGTATTAGCGAAAATGTGAATGATTAGGGAGCTCATATTTGAAATGATGGATTTCTAATGCCTCTGTTTTGCACAAGTTTGTAATTTGTCGTCTACTCAAACCAAATCGTTTCACTGTAAAAGTGGTTTTAAAAGACATATCAACTGGGGTAGGGTGACCAGAGATGAATCAATTAGCTAGTGTTTCTTATCCCTACAAATTGAATTTTATGGATAACATGTACTGTAGACATTAAATACAGTGGGTCTAATCCCAACAGTGGTAAATAAAAGCGCCTTATACTATTTACTAATTATTTTTGTAAGAAAAATTGTTATCCGAATGAATAGACAAAAATGAATAATTATGTAACAAAGCAAAAAACACGAGTCAACAAATATATGTCACCGATTAATAGTCATCTTCCCTAATGTTTAATAAACAAAACATTCATAACTATTGGTAGAATTATTCCTAGAACGGAATTTATAAATAAAATTTGTTATTAATTTAAATTTGCCGAATGTCTGTACATGTCGTGTACAATATTGATTCCATCATACATTCATACATACTTGAATGTGTTTCTACCTCGACAATTGCATATTTTGTGTCCTATTGCCCAAGGACAGAGATGAACATGGTGCAGTAAATCATGCTATCCGAATTTATCGATTAAATTAGTTAACTTTAGTGTATCATTCATCTACCAATAAAAACTTGTTAATTATTCCCAATCAGAAATAGTTTGAATAATGCTTATCACTTAAGTGGAAAATGTTGTACTTTTTTCCTAAAACAGATTTTTTCTTCTTCTTTTAACTACATGATAATAAATTTTTTCGTTATATCACAAACTAAATCATTTATTTATTGTAATTATCAATGAAATGATAATAATTTCTTTGTTCTCTATTTATTCGATAAAAAAAATATTTCGTCTTTATTCTTTTCTTCATTAAAATCAATGAAATTTACATCTTCGTATCTTTTTCGTTTATTCAAAATTGGTTAGTCAATCAATCAATTTACACTTGTTTTGTTCAATATTTTTTGCTTTATTATTTAAAACAAAAGAGAAACAAGCTTTTTTTTTCAAAACTCTGAGAAAAAGAAATTCTCCTTTTCATAACATACGGAACTTGTTTCACAGTGACACTTTCGACAACTTTGGTTCCAATAAATGCTGACAAGATTCTTTTTATCAAATAAAATCTACTGGGAAATTTACTATTCACGTTGATTTAAAACTCAAGAGAAAAATGCCAGGAGATAATCAACATCAAAGTGCTTACAGATATAGACATACACGTTATGGAAGTAAGTTTCAGTTGAGTAGATATTAGGTTTTATAATGACAGTAGAATTGGAATTTTGTTCATATTGTTGTTAATTATCAATGGTCAATGTTTTGATAAGTATTGATTTGTGCTGTAGATAAACTCCGATCACTTAAGTAACTCTAATGATCATTTTGAAAAAAATAGTATTTATTTCATTCGATAAGTGATTATTTTAAACTGTAAATGAAAATTTAACTTACTATGTCAAATCAGCCAGAAAAATTACCATAAACATAGATAAGTTTGTATGAACTTTTCATACAAATTATTCCCTTAACACTTCTTGCACTGTTGTTCAATAATTGCTTGAATTGGAAGAAATCAGTTCATTCAAAGTGACTGAAATAAATAAATCCTAATGAAATATATGACAAACAATATAGTTTCATTCACAACAATCTCAAATTTTAATCTCCAATCATTTATTCCTATTAATTATATATCTATATTAGTTTCTTACTCCTGTAACCTCTCAAGGAGTACGGGCTACTGACTAGAATTCTTTAACCAACTCTGTCATGGGCTTTCATTTTCAATTACGCTAAATTTCTACTCATTCTTTTGATGTCTGTCTCCTATTTCCGCCACAATGAGTTCTTTATTCTCCCCCTTTTCCTTTTACCTTGAGAATATATATATATATATATATATATATATATATATATATATATATATATATTTGTATGTTAGAAAAGAAATAATCTGAGTAACTTCAGTGAAGACATTTTATCTGAAGCGAGTAAAGTCCTCATTATCATTTATGCTCTTACCGACATTAGACTGACTACACTTTAATAAATAACAAAAGTTATGTTTAGTATACATGCTGTTTTTTGATAAAAAGAATTCTAACACAAAGCGATTGTATCACTTTAATTTCAAATGATTGTTTGAAATTTAACATTTAATGTTACTCATAATAAACAAATAGTATCTAACTCTGAAATGATTTCTATAAATTGCGACAATATCAAGTGTTTTCTTTCTAGAACCTAATAAAAGATTGTAAACGGAAAAAATTTTCTAGTCTCTTTTAAAATAACAGAAAAACCAAATTAAAATGATTGATATTTATTCCCAACTTCAACTTCTATGGTTAATAACTTAAATTATCATGTTTATGGATTCGAAAGAATTCTAATCAGTATTCGATCTATTATTCATTTGTATTGGTTGTGTTGAATTGTCCCATTGATGTTTAGGACTGTAAATATGCCGAAGAGACTGGTACTCAGTAATTAAATGGGTAAGGCATTACCATCCGAAGCATAAGGTACTGGGTTCGAGACCCAGAATGAACAGTAAACTCTGAGATTGCGGGTACATCCAATGGAAAGCGAATCTCAAAAAGGATGAAACGCGGGTTATAGCTTCCTCTGCTAGCCACTGTCCACCTCCACTAATTCACCATACAGTTTATTCCTATAAAATCTTCATAGTTAATTATACATATCAACTGTTAAAACCTACATGTTAGGTATCTTTTATCTGTATTGAAATGTCAATTGACTTAGCTGTAGTTTAAACTTAAATTGATTTAAAGATGAAATACAATAGTCTTTCTTTATATTTATTATATTTAAACTATACTGATCAAGACAATTATAATTTGACATATTATAATTCATTAAGTGAATTTATTTATAAGCTGTAAAGTATTGTCTTAAATAATATAAGATTATAGATAATATTGACATTTAACAAGGTTTGGTAAGTCAAAATATCTATAATTAGTGATTTGACAATGGACGATACTAATAATGTGTTTTAAACTGCATATCATGATAATTGTTATCTGCTTGCTTCATTGAAGTGTTCACTCCGAGTTGGAGTGACTTAGTATTGAAAAAACTATGTATATGTAATACTCTTTTTACTAAAATGTACATAATTGATTTTTTACTGCGCGAAAATCTAAATTACTTATTGTTTTGTTGTTAAAATGATATGACTAATCTAAGGAGATGGTATAACGTTTTCTGCTCATTGATACTATCATGAATGGTAACATCGATCTGATAGTTCTAAAGTGTTAAGTGAAGAATTCCTATATTTCTAACTGTAGACGGTTGGTGATATTGTTAAAGTACGGTATATTAATAATTCAGTGACTAATAGTTGATGCCTCTTATTGTCTAATCTTTAGCACTGATAGGATCCTATAGGTTAGTGTACTCTTACTAGCTATTGTTGTTTCACTGAAGATGAGTTATGACCTAATGTTCCTCCTGTGAATGAAGTGTCTACAGAAGACAACGATTTCCTCAAGATTTCGAATAAACCTCCACTCACGAGGAACACTTTAATTTATGTTTAATCATCAGTTACCTCAAAACATGTAATGTCAAACTTACTTGTCCAACAGATCGAAGCTTACTGCATTGATCGTTCTCATTAATTCAGGACCATGTTAATTCATTATTCTCTAACAAAGATAGCATTTTGGAATTGTAGTGGCGATTGAGTTGCGACTGACCATGATCACCACTAGAGAGAAGATAAATAAATCCATGTTAAAGAATAAATTTGCTTGCGATTTCGTAGTATCGAAAGAATACCGAAATTGAGCTAGAAATGAGGTACGAAATTACAGAGATAGAGGAGTCAAAATGTCAGCAACACAAACAGAAAGTTTACGCGTACAGAAGTGTTTTAAACAAAGAGGTTCAGTAAAGCAATTACTGGCACAATTGGTTATAATAATGAATGTTTCCATTAAACCAATCACATTCTCTTCATAAAAGTGGATTTACGACAAAATAAAAGCTAATACTTAGACAGAAAAAATGAAAAAATCTATTTTCTTTCAAGTTATTAGTTAAAAAGTAGTCTAAAACTTAACAAGTCACTAAATCCTTAAAGTTTGTACATAAAAACAAAATGTATTTCGATAGATAAGTTACATTTTCAAAATCAGTTGCACTTTTTTATACTTTGTTGAAAACAAGTCGCCTAATGGACAAAATAAGTGCATATCATTAGTTTTTTTAAATTAAATATATATATATATATATATATATATAAGAGTTTTACTCAGTGTTCGTACATTGAACGTATTCATAAATGACAACTTGTATTTAGGTAAAATGTGATTATCATTTACGCCTGACAGTTATCACTTATGAATCCAAGTATAAATTCAAGTTTCATATGGAATTTCTTTGAACTTCATCAATGTAAAAGTTAATGGAATATTTGATTTACTATACAAAACCACATGATTAATCTTTCTAGGTGAAATCGGATGCACGATATACACGACATTTTTAATTAAATGAATAAACAAATCACTGAAACAGAAACAGACCTTTAAAAGGATTAGATTTATTGATTATTTTGTAGAGTCTGTTAGAGTTATGATTAGTACTCTAAAATGTTTTTACTTTTCCATTGATTGAGAATTTTTTCAAAGAACCTAGAACTATGAAAGCAGGATTATATTTAAGTTTATTCTAGGAGAACATGTATAATTAGAATGATGGAAAATAACCACAAAGTTCTGGTACTTTTGATCATGAGATTATTTCAAAATATCAAGTCTCAAAGTGTTTCTTTATTTTAGTTAACTTAATCAGCATAGAATCTGGCTATTACATCACTGTAAACTGTACACCTAATTATGCAGTTAGATCATTTGAATATCTTTCCACGTTCTCCTATCAAATTCATTTCAATTATTCTTTAAAAAAAAAGGCTGAAAATTTGAAATGCAGGGAATTTATCACATTAGCGATTGCATCGATGCCTGAAGAAAGTAAATCCACTGTAAATGAATTATCAACCCGGACCAATTCACTAACTATTCATTTCACACAATTAAACTGTAATTAGATTTAGGGTTTCCAAAACGAGATGATATCAACTCTCATTCTAAAATTCTATTTTTCCTCATAGACGAATGAATTTCACTGATTTGTCCATATATTATAGTCTCGTAGAAAAACGACATTATCAGAAATCCCATTTTTCATAAAACTATAAGCACTATTGTTAACATCTCGACTGAATGGTAAATAGTTCTTAAGTAGGTAGAATGGATTAAAGTTTTCTTGTAGATAGCCGTCTATAGGTGTTTACGAAAGATTTAACCAAAGCAATCGGTTTTCTTAGGGGGGCCACTCACCCAGCCTTTGAGTCAAATCCACAAGACAAAGAAGCAATACAAGAAGCAATCTCATGGTAGTCGGTGAACAACTAGAGGTTTATAAGCCATTTGTTACCTTAGGATATTGAAGCCTGTGTACACCATCGTTTTGGAGTCAGTGTTTTCCAACTCCCTCAGGTGGAGCCTCCGTATCAACCAACCTAAATTAAGCCTCCGACGGAAATTTCCTTTTCATCCCCTCAATTTCGTAAGCAACAGTATTGCCGTGAGAATGAAGTGAGTAGGACTTCCTTATGGTTGCTTTAAACGCGTGGCCATACTAAAGCATTTTGAGAGGAAGAGAGAACTCTCCACACTTTCGGCTGTACCAGGATATTCGGGGTTGCTAAACACATACTCTTATGCAGTTATTAAAATTCATCTGTTTAACTCTTTGTAACTATTAAGGTGGATACTAGACCTCTCTTAGTTGTATATCATGCTTACTGCTGCTTATTTTTAAATTTATGTATACACGAGAAAATTTTTAGATACGATATAGCACTTCTGAATGCTCTGCATTTGCATTTATGATCAAGAATGTGTTCCGCTTAGTCAGTTAGCATGACCTTTTTTGTGTTATATAATCCATTGATCACAGATTTAATTGAAATTCATTCTCCAGTAGAAAAATAATCAAACACTGAGTCATATCACAGCTTTAACATTTTGAAATCTTTCTGTTTAACCTTATCATTTCGAGTTAAGTCAAAGAGCCTTTTATTGAATAAACGTTTAGATACACTCAGATCTTTTTCGTTACAATATTGTACTGTATTCAGTAGACTAAATGCATTATTCGTAATGAGGATATGTTTTCATTACAGTTATCA